GGGAGGGGGAGGAGGACCCCCTCTCCCTCCAATTTATGGTGGTGGTGGTGGTGTTGGAAAACAGCTCCCCCACGTGCGGCCAGCGGCGCGCGCGCGGGTCCCTGAGACCCTGGCGTTTGCACTTTTCGTTTCGTGGCGGGCGTTATCGTGCTTTCTCGGCCCGCGGGACCCTCGCATATCGATCCGGCTTGAACAATGACGCAGACAGGTGGGGTCCAGGGTTCCAGGCGTGTTTTTTTTTTCACGACGTTGCATTTTTGCTCACAACGCGTCGACTGCACGCATGAAGCTGCATAAACAAACTTTCGGAGGTCCGCGCGGGTTGCTTGGATCTGCGCTGGGGCCCCCTGGCGCCGCCCCTGGCGCGCTCCGCGCGCCAGGGAGGGGTGTCGGCGCAGATCCGAAAAATCCGCGCGGACCGCCGAAACTTTATGTTGTTGCAGTTTTAGTTTTAAGTCGGGCCTGTCCCTCTACAGAGGGAGTATCCAAAAATAGGCTATAAATTGTCAGGGGGCCATCTTTCGATTTGTTTTGCGCACTGTTGGAGCATTGTTTCTAAGCGTTTTTAAGATTTCGCCCAGAATCCCCCTGTAGGGGGACAGGCCCGACCTAATTTTAGTTTTTTTTGGCCATCCGCGTAAGAGCGACCCTTCGCCAGAGTGACCTTTGGTGCGGGCCCACTGGGGTCCCCCGGTCGCCGAGCGCGAGGCGGCGGCGGCGGCGGCTAGAAAGTTTTTGCGCAATTTTCTGCCTTTGGTGGGCCCTTGTCAAAAAACTAATCAGAGTGAAAAACCGGTTCTGGGGAATATGTCGAGACTTCCGGGGACCCCGTCTTGAAAAGATCACGAGATCGGATCTCAGGGTCTTGAAGGGATCCCAGGGTGACTTCGCGTTGTTTGGGGAGCCTCGTCCTCAAGACCCCATCCCTCAGGATCCCATCTCGGAATCACCGACCCGCGTCCCCAGTGAAGTCGCGCACCAAAGGTCGCTCTCGCATACCCTGAGGTCCGATGTCGTGTTTTTTTCAAGACGGGGCCCCCGGAAGTCGCGACACATTCCCTAGGACCAGTTTTTTATCCTGAGTAGTTTTGTTACGGTCCCGAGGGCCGGTAAGGGCCCCCGGAGGCCGAAACTTGCGAAAAACCTCCGTCGTGTTTTTGTTCAGTGCGTTGGATCTCTGGGCATAGGGGGTCGCTCTTATACGTGCAGCCGAGCGGGGGCAGCGGGCACGCCAGGAGTCGCTTTTCTCTGCCGCTGTTGTGGCCTCTGGGGGGGGACCCTTGTCGGGCCCCCCTGGCGGGGCCGTCCAAGAATAGAACGGCTCGCGAGACAAAAAACGGCCCATGTGTTCGCGTCGCGAACAGAATCGCGACGGGAGGCGTCTCGCCATTTTTGCTCGGCCTTCATAGAGGGCCCCTGCGAGGCTCCTCCTCCCCAGACCCCCCCGCGTCGCGAAGCAATCGTGACGGGGGGCTTCTCGCGATCTGTCGCCTCCGGGGGCCCTTCCCGGGCCCCGGGGGCCGTCAACAGAAACGGCGCGGGAGGCAGAGCCGGTCCACGGGGAAGGGGTCCAGACTTCCGAGGGCCACGTCGTGGACACAAAGTCACGGCGTCGGGGGTCTGGGTCTCCCTGCCCCTCCTCCCCTCTCCAAAAAACTCCCCCTCCCCTCGCCCCTCTCCCCTCTCCTCTCCTCCCCTCGCCCCTCTCCCCTCCCCTCTCCCCTCCCCTCTCCCCTCTCCCCTCTCCCCCTCCCCTCTCCCCCTCCCCTCGACCCTCTCCCCTCTCGCCTCTTGTGGGTCGACGCTTCGGCAAAAAATCCCGACGCCGAGGGCTCTGGGGGGGGGGGCCCCGCGTGGCCCGGAGGAAGGGAAGGGCGGCACGAGCGCGGAGGCGCGGCCTAGGAGAGGGAGAGCCTCTGCGCACGCGCCGGTGCCGTTGGGGCCCGTGCCAAAAGTCAGGGGTGGACAGAACCCCCACCCTGACACGTCGATTCGTGCATTGTCCGTTTTCGGTGCTCGAGAGGGCGCCGCGGCCGTCATCTTGCAGGTTTGTCTAGGCCTCCTAGATGGGGTCGGAGCAGATGGGGTCGGAGGATCTCGCCGCATCGCCGATGCATCGCCGACGCCGCTCGATGTGCAGCCCGACTTGCTTCACGTTGTAGCCGATGCATCGCCGACGTCGACGATGCGTCGCCAGTGCATCGCATCGCCGATATATCGGCGATGCGGCGCGATCCTCCGACCTCATCTACACCGACCCCATCTAGGAGGCCTCTAGTTTGGGCCCGCCAGGTTTGGGCCCGAGGCCGTTTGCACCAAGCCGCGTTTTGCTAAAGGGGGCTCTGTCCATCCCCGAAGAAAGGGCCACGGGCCCAGGATCGGTGTGTGCGCACGCCTCCCGGGCCAGGCCAGGGGCCCAGCCTCGCCGGGCTCGGTGCGCGCGCCCAGCTCCTATGATGATCCAGCCTGCTTTCGCTTTGATCACCAGGAAGAGTTTCGAGCGCCCAAAGAAGTGCCGAAGCTCATGGGTTTTCGCGCGTCGGGCCCTGGGAGGCACTCGCCCGACGCTGCTTCGACACTGTCTCGACACTCTTTTCACACCTTTCCGGGTGCTCGAAATGATTTCTGGGATGTGGTCCTCGAAGTAGGACGGGAACAACATAAGCCCAGCTCTCGTTCTGCCAAACTCGCGGACGTCCGTGCGGACTGCGTGGACCTGCGCGGGACCCCTGGCGACTCCGGGGGCCCCGCGCGCAGGTCCAACACATCCGCGCGGGCCTTGGGCAGCTTCTGCTCATGCCGCGTTCCCTTCTGTTTGGCAACCGGGGCCAGCGCTGACGTGGGTTATCGGCCAATCCCCTCTGGCCGGCCAGGGCTTGGGAGCCACGCGGGGCCGACCCCCCCGCCGAGCTTGCGAGGGGGGCACCCGGGCTCGGGAGCTGCTCTGCGGCCAGCTGGGGTGCGCGACGTGGCCAGGGCTGACCCGGTTCCCGGGTCGGCGCGCCTCGGTGGTCTCTCGGCCCGTGCTCGCACCGCCAGCGCACAGCTGCCCCTGGGCCAGAGCGACAGCCACAAGAATCTGCTGAAGTCCATCGAGCACGGCGTCTGGGCCACCCACCGACACAACGAGGATCGGGCCGAACGGAAGGGGGGAACAGGGAAAGGGTGGGTTGCGAAACCTGCTGCGTGCAGCTGGTTTTGGCCCCGCCGCCGGGCCCATTCCTCGATACATGGGCGCCTCTCAGCGCCGGGAGGCGCCGGGAAAATCAGCTGCGTGAGCTGATTCTCCCCCCCCCCCCCCTTTGCTACCCGCCCCTTTCGTTTCGGGCGAAGAGAACTAAGCACATGCACCAGTCCTGGCCAGGCCCATCCTTGGCCCCATGATCGGTGCATATGCCTTCCTGGCCAAGGCAGGAGGGCGTATGCACCGATCTTGGGCTCAGGATGGACCTGGCCAAAATCGGTGTATGTGCATGGTTGTTTTTTTCCTCTATCGTTCTCCCCGAGAGGAGAGGCTGAGTGATGCCCTCTGCGAGGCCCCGCATGTCATCCTGATCTTCTCGGTGAGCATGAGCAGCTGCTTCCAGGGGTACGCGAAGATGCTGTGCCAGCCGGGCGCCAGCCGGAAGACGGGGATCTTCCAGGGTTTTGGGCGGGCTTTTGACGTGCGTTGGCTCAGGCTGGACGACCTGGAGTTTGTGGACGTGTCCTCGATCACGAACCCCTTGAACGAGAACAAGTCTGTAAAGATGTCGCGGGATGGCCAGGAGTTGTCGCACGAGGTGGGCAAGAGGCTCTGCGAGCTGGTCGACGAGCGCGTGTACCAGGGTGACCCCTTTGGATACGTGGTCGACGATCAGGAGCCAGAAACAGGCGGGGGCCTCGAAATTGCGATCTTTATTGGGGGTGGGGATCACGGCCTCCAGCTTTACCCGTGCCCCACATAAGAAAAGACTACGAGCGAGAGTCTGCTCTTTCAGCATGCGCTCTTGGATATTCCCAACCTGTCCGTACTGTGAGAGCGTGTCAAGGACAATAGTTGTGGCGACGGTCGTTATGATGATGATGATGCTGATGATGATGATGATGATGATGATGATGATGATGATGATGATGATGATGATCATGATCATGATCATGATCATGATGATGATGATGATGATGATGATGATAACGATGATGGTACTGATGATGCTGATGATGATGCCGATACTGATGATGATGATGATGATGACGATGATGCTGCTGCTACTGATGATGATGATTATGATTATGATTATGATGATTATGATGCTGATGCTGATGATGATGCTGATGACCATATTGATGATGCCGATACTGATGATGCTGATGATGATGCTGATGATGCTGATGATGGTGAATCTGGTGCTGACGATGAGGATGCTTATGATGCTTCTGATTATGGTAATGATGATGCTGCTGATGATGATGGTGATGATAATGCTGATGCTGATGCTGATGGTGACGATGATGATGATGCTGCTGATGCTGATGCTGATGCTGATGATGATGATGATGACGATGACGATGACGATGACGATGACGATGCCGATACTGATGATGATGCTGCTGATGATGCTGCTGATGATGATGATGCTGATGCTGATGATGATGGTGATGATGATGATAATGATGATGATGATGATGATGATGATGATGATGATGATGATGATGATGATTATGATGTTGATGATGGGGATGACGATGATCTGGATGATGATGGGGATGCTGGTGGTTTGGTTGTTTCTGCTGCTGCTGATGCCTCTGCTGCTACTGGTGACGATGATTTCTGTATTGAGTAGTAAGAAGGAAGTCATGAGGGGTGGATAGTGATGATCAAGAGGGGGAGCATAAAGGGGAGGCAGAGGAGGATGGAGGGCACGCAGCAGGGAAAGCGAAAAAGGAGGAGGAAGAGGAGCAGGAGTAGGAGCACGGTAATGATGACGATCATGATGATGCTGATGCTGATGATGATGATGATGATGATGATATTGATGATGATGATGATGATGATGATGATGATGATGATGATGATGATGATGATGATGATGGTGATGGTGATGATGATGATGATGATGATGATGATGATGATGATGATGATGGTGATGGTGATGGTGATGGTGATGGTGATGATGATGATGATGATGATGATGATGATGATGATGATGATGATGATGATGATGATGATGATGAGGTCGGATGAGGAAGGTTGAGGGAGAGACTAAGACAAATGGGGGTGATGATGAGGAAGAGCGCCAAATCACGAAGGGAACAGGCAGGAAGGCCCAGATGTGGGCGGCAGGCGTTGAAAACAGCGGCTGGTGCATTGGCGATGCACCGGCGACGCGGTGCGATCCTCCGGCCCCGCCTGCGCAGGCCCCATCTGGGAGGCCTCCAGGGGAGGGAGGCGAGGAGGTCGGCCTGGCTCTAGGGGAGGGAGGAGAGGAGGGGCGGGAGGAGAGGGAGGGGAGGGAGGAGAGGGGAGGGAGATCCTCCAGAGGAGGATGCCTCCAGGGGAGGGAGGAGAGGAGGGGAGGGAGGAGAGGAGGGGAGGGAGGAGAGAGGAGGGAGATCCTCCAGAGGAGGAGGCCTCCAGGGGAGGGAGGAGAGGAGGGGAGGGAGGAGGGGAGGGAGGCTCCGGCCAGGCGGTCTCGGCGGTCCCCCGCGCGCGCCGCCGCCGCAGCGGGCCCGGCAGCCGCAGCAGGTCCCACGGGGAGGCAGGTCGCCCTTCGAGAAGAGCTTCGGGACCCTTTCGCTCGACGAGGAGTGAGCACCTGCGCAGAGGAGGCGGAGGCGGAGGCGGAGGCGGAGGCGGAGGCGGAGGCGGAGGCGGAGGAGGAGGAGGAGGAGGAGGAGGAGGAGGAGGAGGAGGAGGAGGAGCCGGAGGAAGTGGCGGGAGGAGGAAGAAGAGGGAGGTGGCAGAAGAAGGAGGAGGTGGGGGAGAGGCACAGGAGAAGGAACATGATCACAAAAATGGTGGGGGTACAGGCAGGTGGCATCTGACGACGCCCTCCCAGGGCGCCAGGCGTTCGACGCGCAGATTTCGAGAGCACGACCTCGAATGACGGAAGGCGCGCCTTGCGTGCGAGCCGTCGGGAGACGTGAAATTTTGGAGAGTTCGAGGGGGGCGGCGGGCGCACGGGCAGATGACGGAAAGAGCGCCAGCGAGAGAAGTTCTGCACAGGACTTTCGCCCCAAACGGGGTGGGTGGGTTTAAGTTGGGCCTGTCCCTCTTCAGGGGGAACAGTAAAATCAAATAGTCTGGGGATTATTTTTTGAGTATTTTGACAAGTTTGAACAATTTTTGGAGTATTTTCCCCATTTTCGTCGAAAATCCCCATGTAGGGGGACACGCCCGACTTAACGCTAGCGAGAGAAGTTCTGCACAGAGCTTTCGCCCCAAATGGGGCGGGTGGGTGGACCGCACCGGTTTGTCTTTTGCGCGCTCCGGGGGCCATGTTGCCGGCTTTTTCGGCCCATGACGCTCCAAGAGACATCCAAGAGGCTCCCAAGACGGCTTCAGATATTTCCAAGACGGTCCAAGAGACGCCCCAGAGGTTTTAAGACGACCCAACAGCGCTTCAGGAGGGGCAACGGTGGCCCCGCGACGGCCTCAGAAGCCCCCCAGACGCCCCAAGAGGCTCCCACGAGGATATCCAAGAGGGACTCAAGAGGCACAAACTATTGATTACCCCGAGGTTTCTGACGTTTTTGTTGTGACTGTCGCTTGTTCGGGCCAAAACTGCCAAAGACGCCCTTTGGGGCCTCCGAGGTCGCCCCAACACGTCCCCAGAGGCTCCCTGCAAGGCCTGAAAACAATCCAAGAGAGCTTCAAGGCGGCCCACGACAGCCCCAAGTTTTAAGTCGGGCCTGTCCCCCTACACGGGGATTTTCTACGACAAATACAACATATCCAAACAAATAGCCAAAAAATAATCCAAAAATAGTCAGGGGACTAACTTTTCTGATGATTTTTTGTCATTTTGGGGCATTTTGGGGGGGCATTTTTCGTCGAAAATCCTCCTGTAGGGGGACGCGCCCGACATAACCCCAGATGGGCCAAGGAGTGCCCCACAGAGGCCCACAGAGGCTCGCAGGAAAGCTCCCATGGGGGCCCCAGGCGGCCCCGTGGCGCGCCGCCCTCCGCTCCGCGCCCCGGCCGGTCCTGACCCGGGGGCGCGCAAATTGGGCTTCGCTGGCGCTCCGCGCCTGCTTTTCGAGGAGGAGGAGGAGGAGGAGGAGGAGGAGGAGGAGGAGGAGGAGGAGGAGGAGGAGGAGCAGCGGCAGCAGCAGCAGCAGCGTCAGGTATGCGAGCATGGCCCTTTTGCGCACATAGCCAGCCTCTGCACCACATCCGGCTGGGTGGAGCAACGCTCGTGGTGTACTGTAAGCTGGAGGGTTCCCGGCCTCTTCAGGACAGTGCATCGTTTCGTTGCTAACCAAACGGCTCTCGTGCAGTGCCATCTTCATGGCGCGTGAGTGTAATCCAATTCTCGAAGGAATGCCCCCCGTGGCAAAGTTGTCTTCTCAAATTTGGTTTTGGTGTCGCCACGGTCGCCTGCATGTGCTCCCGTCCGTGCTCGGGTCACGGGGCAGGGGTCGTGCTTCACCTTTCACTTGGGCATGTTGCGTTTTGCCGTATCCAGTGGGACGCAGCAGCATCATCAGGCATGCGAGTGTTACCCTTCTGCGCGCTGACCCAGCATCTGCACCACACCCGGCCGTGTGGAGCAACGCTCGTGGTGTGAGTTGGAGGGCTCCCGGCTTCGTCAGGAAAGTGCGTCGTTTCGTTGTTGACCAAGCAGCATCAGCAGCAGCAGCAGCAGCAGCAGCAGCAGCAGCAGCAGCAGCAACGGCGGCAGCAAGGAGGAACAGCGAGGAGAAAAAGCGAGGAGGAGGAGGAGGAGGAGGAGGAGGAGGAGGAGGAGGAGGAGGGGGGAAGAGGGGAATAATAGGAAGAAACATTGGCAATCCAGCGATCTTAGCGCTCTGGAAGTGAATTCAATTTGCATCCCCGTGCTGAACAGGCCTAACACGCGAGCGAGGCAAGAGATGCTGACTCCATCTCCGCACCGTTTTCCCCTCCTCCTTCCTTTCCCCCCTTTGGTCGCGTTCTACGTCCGTCAGGTTTTCTGAGCAACATCAGGAACATCTCTCCTTATCAGCACGTGCTGCACTGGATTAATTTTCTGGTGTGAACAGCGATTCTAGGTCCGAGCCGAGCCGTGCCGTGCTTGACTCCCAGGAGTGCAACAGGTGCCACCCGTGGCTGCGCCGTGCCGTGCCATGCCCGCATGTCGTGCCGTACCGTGTCTGGCTTCTGGAATGCGAAACAGCGAAGCATGTGCCGCTAGCGTGCCGTGCCGTGCCCGCGCTGGAAAGTGCGAAGCATGTGCCGTCCGCGTGCCGTGGCGCACCTGGCTTCCAGAATGCGAGGGAGATGCCCGTGGCCGTCCCCTGCCGCGCCGTGCCCGCGTGTCGCGCAGTGCTCGCGTGCCGCGCCCGCGTTCCGTGCCGTATAGCCGTGCCCGCGTTCCAGAATTCGAGAAATCTGCCGCCCGCGTGGCGTGCCGTGTGCGTGCCGTGCGCGTGCCGTGCGCGTGCCGTGCCGTGCCCGCGTCCTAGAATGCAGGGCATATGTCGCCCGCGTGCGGCGTCGTGCCGCGTGCCGTGCCTTGCCATGCGTGTGCTGTCGTGGCCACGAGCGAGGGATGTGCAGCGCCTTCAGAGGTGGGCTGCCTCTCGCACTGGGGGGCAGGGCTGGCCGCGGAGGCGTTCCCGTGACATGCCAGCGCTATCGCGCTCCTTCTCGCCGGGCCGTTCCGCTCTCCTCCTGCTTCTCGGCGTCGCCCTCGTCGTCGGTGCCGTCGCTTTCCGCGTCGTCGTCGTCGTCGTCGCCCCCTCTCCGCCTCCGACTCCTCCTCAGAGGTGCCGGCGCGGCCCCCGGACGCAGCGCCGCTGCCCCCCGCCTCAGGTCCATGTGGCTACGCGCCCCAGGCGCCTGCAGTGGCCCCAGCCCCTCGGCTTTACGAGAACGCCTCTCCGCTGCACCACCAGCGATCCGGGCGTTTCGTTTCAGTCATAACTTGCCCTGGCGCTACTTGCATTGTCCAGCGGCTTCACGGATGAAGGGGTGGTGGTATTCAAGTTGCTTCTCGCTTCGTCGCGCGCACATTCATATTGAGTAGTTCCACTTGTTGCGCTGATAGGGGGCATGTTTGTATCAACAGGTGGCTCTTGCCGCTGCGCACATTCGTTTGAAATGCTTCCAGCGTTAACACGGATTTGGTCGGAAATTGGAAGATACACATTGTCAGTGGCGGGTTGTTTTTCAATCCCAGGACTTCTTGAGGGTCGAGGACGACGCTGGGGTGGTGTGGTGTATTTGTTCCCCCGATCTCCCAGGGACACAACAAAAACTGTACCAGGGTCCCGTATACACCAGGGCTCGCTCTCCAGTGCAAATTCCAATGCAGGGCCGGCAGAAGCGTCGGTGTATAGAGTTCGATTCCTTATTCGGGGTATCCCATATTCAAAATATGTCTCTCGCCCAATGCGCCTCGCCTATTCGTTTCAACCTTCCCATTCGTAGCAAAGGTGGAAGGCGGTGCGTTTTCAGAATGAGGCTCTTGCTTGAGGTTTCCTCAAGTTTGGCACTGTTGAGAAGTTCCGCGGATGTAGGCGTTTTCTTTTCACAATGTGGCTCTGATTTGACATCTCTTGTGCAGCATTTGCGCACATGGAGGGCGACTCCTTCTCAAGACGGAGCTGTCGCCTGCAAGGCAAGTCCGAGAGGCGGAGGAGAAGGAGGAGGCGGAGGAGGAGAGGGGGAGGGGGAGGAATGATAATGATGTGATGATGATGATGATGATGATGATGATGATGATGATGATGATGATGATGATGATGATGATGATGATGATGATGCTGATGATGATGATGATGATGATGATGATGATGATCAGGATCAGGATCAGGATCAGGATCAGGATCATGATCATGATCATAATGAGGAGGAGGAGGATAACGAGGAGGAGGAGGGGGAGGAGGAGGAGAAGTAGGGATACTTGTGACGGGAGTGTGTACTGCAGCATCGCGGACGCATCCTGGGTTTGCTCGGATCCTCGTCCTCCTCGTCCTCGTACGCCACCAGCGTCACAATCCTCCACGGCCTTGTTTCTCCTGACCAGCCCGTGCGGTGGGAGCGTTCTTGCAGGCGGCAGGGGGAGTCAGAAGAAGCGTGTCCTAGCGAAGCCGGCCGAGCACGCCACAGTTTCGCCAGTGCGCGAAGGGGCTGGAGTGTGGCTCGCGTAGTTGTATACCTCGCGTGCAGTCAAGCCGCATAGTAAGGATGCGCCACCTTCCCAAGGGGACCCTAGCATCCTTGCCTCCTCGGTCCATCCTTGGCCGCTTTCGCTGGCCGCGCCCCGCTCGCAAAGTGTCAGCATGGCCTTCCAAGGCACTTGCATCCGTTTCGCATATGATACGGGCCGGCTGTACCTCCTGGCATTGGGCGCCTGCAGTCACGCGCCCCCAGGTGCCCGCAGCGGCGTACCATTTGCCGCCGCCGCCGCAGGCGGTCAGGGCGCGACTTGTCAGGGGGGGGAGGCTCTGGGGCCAGGACCTCCTCCTCCTCCCTGGGATCTCCTTGTGATCTTCTTCTCACTGTCCTTACCCCTGCAGACGCGCGCGATGCAGGCAACTGCGATGTAGGTTTCGATCTTGTGGAGCGCGTGGCTCGTGCCTTCCTAGAATTCGCTGGCACTGTAGGAAAGTGCGGTTCGCGATTTCCTACAGGTTGGTTTCCAACAACATCGTTCAGCAACATCGCCGTTGGCGTGGCCCTGGTACCCTGGGGTCTACTTCCTCTGCCCCTTCTTCTCCTCCTCGTCGTCCAGCTTTGCACTGGTCTCCGGGCCGCAGTGGCGTCTCTCTCTTTCTCTTTCTCGTGTGCATTCTCTCCCTCCGCCTGCACAGTTTTCTCTCTTTTGAATCAGCCTTTCAGAGATCCGCTGCACCGATCCTCGCGAGCATCCGAGGGGATCCTTGAACGGGGGTACCTCCACTGAGGCCAACCCCGCTGCCAACAGCATCAGCACTATTTGTGGCAGTACCAGAGCCAGCGCCAGCGGTAGCAGTGATAGTGATGGCCATAGGGATAGCGATGGTGACAATTGGTAGTCGTGGCAATGGAGGTGACAGGGAGAGTGATGGCGATAATGATAGGGCTGATGATGTTGAGCCCGATTGTGATTGTGACAGTGATGGTGATCATCCCAATGATAGCGGTAGTGCTCGTCATCGTGATTGTGACATGTGGAGGGGGATGACGATGGCACTGACGAAGCAGAGCAGGATATGGATGAAGATTATGACGACGACGATGATGATGATGATGATGATGATGATGATGATGATGATGATGATGATGACGATGATGATGATGATTAGGATGATGGTGGTGGTGATGATGATGATGATAAGGGGTGATGATGATGCAGTTGCTGACTGTATTACTGACGGTAATGATGTTGAAGATGCGGTGTATGATGACGGTGGTTGTGAGAATGATGATTATCATGATACTAAGGTGGTTGTTCTTGCTGCTGCTGTTGTTGCTGCTGTTGCTGTATTCCCAAATCGCGCTCTCGCGGGGGACTTCCTCACACTTTGTATACGAATCGCGCTCTCGCATGGGATTTCCTCGCAATTTATTCAGACGATGCGTCCTCGGCTCTCAGGAATCACGCTCTCGCTTTGGCTTTTCTCACGGATTACTTTGGAATCGCGCTATCGCTCGAGACTTCCTCGCGATTGATGCAGGACCCACGCTTCAGCAACCCGCCTGCTCGACCTGGTCGCCTGGGCCCGCCTTCCCGACCTGCCCGCTATTGGTCTGCCCACCCGATCTGCTCGTCTGGTTCTACTACCTGTTTTCTGGTCCTTGCCCCCCTCCTGCTAATTTCTCTCGTGCTCCATTCCTGTCCCTGCCCTTTCTACCCATCTTCTCTTCCCTTGTTTTAGAGGCTGCACTGAATGCACGTGGCAGGTAAGGAAGATATACCCTCAAGGGGGTACGATCGAAGACAACGAGGGCGGGTGCCGAGGGTTTGGAGTATATGTGCTGATTGGCACGTGGGCAGATAGGAGCGAGCAGCCTTAACGTGATTGTTGTTGGTGTTGTTGAAGTCTCATTTCTAAAGAATAATTCGTGTTGGTCCCCCCCGCCCAGTGCACATTGTTTTTTTTTGAAGTGTCCCTCCCAGGGCTCGCACCCTGTCTTTTATCAGAGAAAGTCTTGAGACTCAAACTATGTCGTTGGCCCCCAGTTTGTAACAACAACGGTTCCCACCTGATACTTCTTCACAATTGATTGAAGGATCGCGCTTTCGCTTGGGACTTCCTTGCAATTTACCACCGAATCGCGGCTCCCGCTTGATATTTCGTAACAATTTATTGCAGAATCGCGTTCTCGCTTGGGAGTTCCTCGCAGCTTACCACCGAACTGCTTCGCTTGATATTTCCTCACAATTTATTCAGATGCGGGTCCTCGACACTCAGGAATCGCCCTCTCGCTACATATTGCCTGGCGGTTCAAGCAGGACTCACGCTTCAACGACCCGCCCGCTCGACCCGCCCGTCGGGGCCTGCCCGCCCGACCAGCCCGATACTGACTGCAGTCGTCGCTCGCTGCCCTTCGCCCGCCTTCGATGCCCCTCGCTGCCCGTGCTAGTTCTGTGGTCGCATTCGCTCGCTGCCCTTCGGGGCCCCGTTGCTGCCCTCAGTGGCTCCGTCGCTGAACTGTGTGGCCCCACATTATATGCCTTTCGCGGCCCCAGCTCGCACGCGCCCGTCGTGGCCCCATACGCATGCCCTTCGTAGCCCCGCTGTCGCCCTTCGTGGCCCCATCGCTGCCCTTCGTGGTCCCTTTGTTGCCCTCAGTGGCCCCGCTGTCGCCCTTTGTGGCCCCGTATACCGATGCCCTTCGCGGCCCCCGCTCGCACGCGCCCGTCGTGGCCCCATATGCATGCCCTTCGTGGCCCCACTGACGCACTTTTTGGCCCCCTCGCTGCCCTTCGTGGCCCCGGTGCTGCCCTCAGCGGCCCCGTCGCTGCCCTCTGTGGCCTTGGATTTTATGCCCTTCGTGGCCCACGCTGGCTTTCTCACGATTTACTCAGCAATCGCGCTATCGCTCGAGACGTCCTCGCGATTCATGCAGGACCCACGCTTCAGCAACCCGCCTGCTCGACCTGGTCGCCTGGGCCCGCCTTCCCGACCTGCCCGCTATGGGTCTGCCCACCCGATATGCCTGTCTGGTTCTACCACTTTGCTCCTTGTCCCCTCCTGCTAATTTCTCTCGTGCTCCATTATTCTCCCTCCCCCTCCACCCGTCCTCTCTTCCTTTGTTCTAGGGGCTGCATTCACAACACGTAGCAAGTAAGGAAGATATACCTCCAAGGGGTACGATCCAAGACAACGAGGGCGGGTACCGAGGGTTCGGGATACACGTATTGATTAGCACGTGAGCAGATAGGAGCGAACAGTCTCAAAATGGTTATCGTTGTTGTGTTTTATGTTTGGTGGTGTTGTGATTGCGGCCGTTGGTGGTAATTATCATTAGTAGTATTATAATTCGCATTATTGTGACTGACGGTGATGCTGTTTTTGATGATGCTGATGATGCTGCTGCTGATGATGATGATGGTGATGATGATGATGATGATGATGATGATGATGATGATGATGATGATGATGATGATGATGATGATGAGTAGGATGTTGATAATGACGGTGACGATCACGGCGGCGCATCTGATGATGGTGATGTTGGTGGTGGTGGTAGTGATGTTGATGATGCTGACGATGGTGACGATGATACTGGTGATGATGATTATGATATTGATGATGTTGACGCTACTGTCGATGATGCTGCTGATGCTGATGATGCTGATGCTGGTGCTGATACTGCTGCTGCTAATGGTGCTGATCATGATGATAATGATGATGAGCATGATAATGATCATGATGATGATGCTGATGCTCCTGCTGCTGCTGATGCTGATGCTGATGCTGATGCTAATGATGATGATAATACCGACGATGATGATGCGTAGTATGATGAGGATGGCGATGAGATGCTGATGCGGTCCATGATTCGGATGATGCTGACTGTTCCGATGAAGGTGACTCTGATACTAGTGGTGACGATGATGAGTTGGATGATGTTGTTGATGGTGCTGATGGTTATGATTATGGTGTTGCTGATGATGATGATTATGATGGTGGTGATGATGATGATGATGATGATCTTGATGCTGATTCTGATGATGATGATGACGACGATGATGATGATGATGGTGATGGTGATGGTGATGCTGATGATGATGATGATGATGCTGATGATGATGATTATGATGATGCTGATGATGATGATGACGACGATGATGATGATGATGATGATGATGATCATGATGATCATGATGATGATGATGATGATGATGATGATGATGATGATGATGATGATGATGATGATGATGATGATGATGATGAGTATGGTGATAATGACGCGTTGCTTGCCGATCCTCGTGGTTGCGCGGTGCCCGGGGCGAGGAGAATAAAGGGCGGCCCAGATGGCGCCACCGCCGCCGGGACCCGGCCCGCCGCCGCCCTGGGCATTCTCCGCGTGGAGCGGGCTGGCCTGGGCCGGTGCGCCAGGACGCGGCGCCCTCAACTGGCCTGCGGCTCCCGATCTCGCCGGGGGGGCATTCGCCTCCCAGCCCTCTCCCTCCCTGCTCCCTCCCTCCTCCTCCCTCCTGCCTCCTTCTTCCCCTCCCGTCCACCACTTCCCCTCCATCCACTCCCCTTCCTTGCCCCCCTCTGCCCGCCTCCTCCCCTCCACTCAGTGTCTCCTTTCTCTGGCCCACTTGCTTGCCCTTGCAGGCCTGGCCCCCAAGGATTCTCTAGAGATAAGGTGTTACTGTGGCCCGTTGGTTGTTAGTGCGGCCTGGTGGGTGTTAGCATGGCCAGGCTGAGCTCTGGCGCTGGCTCATGGAGCACGCCACGAGAGAGATGACGGGATCCTGGCCAGGCTCAGAGCTGCTTTCGGAGCGCCAGTTGCAACGACTCGAACAGCGACTGCACGTGCCGTGCCCGCACTTCCTAGACAGACTTAGGCGCATTTTTCGCCAGATTCGCTCCAAATCACGGACGCCTGGGCAGTGGCATTGGAGTACGACCTTTCAGCTCTCAAAGGGGAACACCAAGAAGGGGACAAAAGCCATGAGATTGATCCACTGCTACTGCCCGTTTGCGAAGGCCTGGTATCGTGGACTATATCTTAGGTCAGCACATCCTCCCCTTCCTCCTCACGCACACGGGTATGCAGCACATCGATGTAGACAGAATGCACAGATAGCAGCAAAAGTTCACAGTTGGAGACTTCGGAAGCTTGGGATCTCTCACCTCCTTGTTAAGAAGGACATGTCGAACGCCTTCCCCTCCACCTCGCACGCTGAGCTCGCCCGCACGGTGATGTCCGTGGTACCTTTTCCACAAGATCGAGCGTTCTTGCTCCAGAGGCATGAGGAGGCGGTGATGGAGATCAGGGCGGGGGAGCAGGTCGGGTACTTCCAACCGAAGCACGGGACAGGGATGGGGGACGGCAATGCCTGCGAGCTCTTTGTGCGCAGTTTCTTGAGGCCTGTGAAGCCTGGCGAGATGAGCTGGGCGCCGACAAGGCCACAGTCTTCTGCAGCAAGTTGAACGCACAGGTTCCGCTCCACAGAGCTTCGTGTGTCATGACGTGCAGTCTGACTAATGAGATGCATGACGTGTCGGTTCGAGACTACGCCGACGACATTCACCAAACGATCCCGCTCACCACCTCGAATCCTCTTGAGGCCAGGTCCAGGGTCCTGAAGTCCAACGCCATTCTCGATCGGGAGTTGTCCATCGGAGGAGGGTTCGCCCAGAACCCTGATAAGGAGAACTGCATGCCCGTCATGGTGGGCCCTGGTGCCCACGCCGCGTCCCGTGCCCTCCTGTCCCAGACGGTTCCGCTTCCTGGGGTCACGTCGTCGGAGGGCCTGTACTTGGGAGGGATGGAACAGCTGACGGCGGGGTGTGGAGCTGAGATAAAGAGGAGGGTGGAGGCTACGAGGGCGGCGTGGAGGAGGCTCGGCAGGTTCTGGGACATCACTCGCTCGATTCGCCTCAAACGTCTGGCCTTCAAGGGAACGATCCTGGCGGCGGCCTACTCGGGCCTCGAATCGTACCTCCCCTCCAAGCTCGACCTCAGGAAACTCGATTCCGTCGTGCAGGGCCTCGCTCGGGTTGTGCTCCGTGATCGTCGTCCTGAATTTGAGCAAGGCGCCCCTCCTGGTACCTGCCCGAAATATAGATCTCTCTCGGAGGCCCAGGTGTTGAGGCAACTCAGGATCACAGACTCAAAAGCGGAGCTGCTTGTGCGCCGCCTCAGACAGTGGCAACGCTACGCTCGTTATCCCGAAGACAGTGCGCAGCCGCTCACCGTGCTTTTTGGCAGTCTCGACGGCCTCGGAGAAGAGCCGACCTTCAGAGAGGACGGCCGAGTTGCTAGCACCGCCAACCCGTGGGCCCTCCAATTGGAGCGAGATGTACAGGCGCTACGGTACCTTCGCGGAGGTAAGGAGTTTGTGGAAAACTATTCTGTTCGTGATATATTTACGAGGTCGATCGTCGCTAATAAGTTCCTCAGCTTCGATCCCAGTTTGCTCCGAGAGGTTCCAGAGCTCCGTGGACCCCCTCGTGGTGCCCAAGGTCCCAGTGCTGGTGCCCCAGAGGATCCTGATGAGTTTGTTTGCGAACTACCTGGAGATGGGGAGGATGGGAGGTGTGGGATGGTGTTCTATGGTAAAGGGGCCCTTGTGGCCCATCAATGCCACCACCCCAGTCACAAGCATCGGGTTCCAGCGCACATGCTCGTGATCACCAATCAGTGCTTGTATTGCATGTCCACCTTCAAGAGCCAGGTCACTGCCCGACGACACGCGGTGCAATCGTTGAAATGTGGCAGGTGTCTCTGCGACCAGAGCCCTTACGCCCCACCTGTTCAGGAACCTGAGGACCTCTTCTGCCCCATTTGTCAGGACCTCGATGCTGCGTTCGGTGCATTTGTCGAGTGTATGCCACCAGGCTCGAGACACCTTGATCAGTTTCAGTCGCTTGCCGAACTCCAGCGACACATACGTGACGTTCACGCCCCGCCACCGCCTGATCTAGTATCGACCGAGTGGGATGGACCTGGCAACCCGTGCTATGAGCCAAGGCGCAGAAGAACGAGCGAGCGCGCTGAGGTCCCGCAGCGGAGACCGAGGCAGAGGCGCACGGCGAGGACCTCGGGGTCCCCCGCCCCGCGCCACAGCGGGGGGAGGCTCACCGCCAGCGGTCCGACCTCAAGGGGTGGCAGTCGTCGCTGGTGGGGGAGGTCAGCAGGGCGGACGGCAGCAGCAGCAACCACCGCAGCACGGGCACCAGGGCGTGGCCAACGCGCTGAGCCAGCTCTTCCAGAACGCCGACCTGACGTACGGGCTGCAGCGAGGCGACGTGATGGGCCTGGGCGACGAGGCGTTCCCACTCGAGCTGATCCAGGCCATCTTCCCCGTGATGGTGCGCGCGACGCTGAAGAACATACAGGGTCTCTCGGCCCTGGAAGCAGCCATCTACCACATCATCCACTTGGATCGGGATCACGACGTCTGCAAGGCCATGAGGATCACAGCCAAGTTCTACGTAGACGAGGCCAATCGCATTCGCCGAGAGCACGCTCAAGAGATCCGAGACCAGCAGCCAGTGGAGGACTTGGAGAAGCTGGGAGTGCCGCACCCCCACCTGTGGTTGGCGCTAGTGGGCGGAGTGGTGCAGCAGGGAGAACGCGTAGGAGCCGCCAATCATCTCGCCCTGAAGCAGTACCTCGACAACATCAAAGCAGATGGAACCATCACGAACGACAGCCTGTGCATGCAGATCCGACATTGCAAGATATCGTACACTCACGATCGCAAGCTGATGAAGATACATCTCGAGGCGCAGGGATCAGGCGTGCAGACACAGTTGCTCGACTCCTTGAAGCAGCTCGGGGGAAAGCTAATGAAGGGCACACCACCTCGCACGCACCAAGAGCGCTTGATGCAGCTCTTCCTAGACAACGCAGAGACGATCTAGACGTTGCTCATAGGCCATCGACTACACCGCAGAGTGGCAGATCAGAGACGCAGGTAGCTACTGGTAGAGGGACGCCGACCTTGACTGCTCCTCTGAGTGGCAGCACCACATCGCAGATAGCTACTGGCAGAGGAGCTGCGACTTTGACGGCACCTCCCAGTGGCAGCACCGCATCGCAGATTGCTACTCCCTCCCTGTTTGCACCTCCCTCTGCTGCGAGTTCGATAGGCCGGGGAGGAGGAGAGAGGGCGCCAGTCTTACAGTCGAATTCTCAGGTAGTAATTCCGCCACAGGCGGCGGGAACCCTTCCTCTCCCCCCTCGTCTTCCTCCTCGCTCGAGCCTCGGGTCTGACCCTCCTCGCCTCACCTCTTCCTCCAGCTTGAATGCCAGCTGAGGTTGATCGGGGCTGCCCCCAGGAAATATCAGTAGCCTGACACTGCTCAGGCGGCTTTCGACCTTTCGCGCCCTCTAGTGGTGGGCGCCAATGTTCTTGCGTTCTTTTCTTGTGTTGCTTGGTCCTGGGGCCCCTGGTCTGCGGTGTTTAGCTGGACCCTGGGTGCTGGCTGCCCCTAGTCTTTCGTGGTTTTTGACTTAATTTGGGTTCCCGCCCGCCTCAGTCTTTCTCGATGGTAGTTTCCCGAAGAGTTTTGTGGTGCTCAACCCGCTTCTGGCCACAGGGATATGTCCGTTCTGTGAGTCGAGGAGCGCGTGAGCCCCCCCCACGTGCTAAGTCACCGCATTATATGCGCACTCGAGGAACCAGAGCTAACTTTTTGATTTCAGTTTCGGCCGAACTCAGACTCACGTTCCTGATGAGCCCGCCGCCGCCCTCGCTCTCCCTCCATCCTCCCTCCTCTCTCCTCTCTCCGTCTCTCCCCATTCCATTGCGCTCCTCGGCACTCCTCCGGAGTCCTCCCCACTCCATCGCCTCCCTCCGTCCCCCCATTCCATGGCACACCTCGTCCTCCCTCTTTCTATTAATTTCCTTCTTCTCCCTCCCCCTTTCCCCCTCCTTCCATCCCCACTGCGATTATTACTACTACTACTACTACTACTACTACTACTACTACTACTACTACTACTACTACTACTACTACTACTACT